AAAATTATTAATTATCATTATTATATATTAAATATTAAATTGAAAAAATTAGCCAACCAAAATAAAAAAAAAAATGAAAAAAAAATTTAAAATTTTCTAAAAAAAAAATAGAATCCTTAAAACTTTCTCTTTATTTCAGCTTTCATAAAAGCTTATCGAAAAGCTTGTTGCTCAATCCAACTTAAGTTTAATTAGTTTTACTTAAAGCATCATCAATTATATATTTATGTGTATCTATTTCGTGTATTCTCTTAAAAAGAATCCTTGGAAATTTCATTTAGTTATTTTAGAAAAATATATATTGAAATACGTTAAATAAAATATACATCCTAAAAATGATTTTAAATTGCTTATAATCAATATTTTAACATAGTATTACTTTATTTTACTAGTAGTCGCAATGACCACACTCTCCATAGTCACCAATTAATTTTAAAAAACAATAGTACTTATTAATTCCACCCATTAAAACGGTTGACACGTATATGTAGTAGAACAATAAAATTTTTATCTTTATTTTGTGAAAATAACAATTTGTACTATCCCAAAATTGTTACAGGGAATTATTTTGGGGTACGTGTAAGTTGTTTTCTTCCAATGGGACTAGGTCAAGTTCTATGCTTTGAGATGGTTGCTCTATTAAATATATTATATTTTGTAGTTTATTGTAAATTTTATTTGTGAAATTTTCAATTTAATATTATGGGCTTACATGTACCTATTAGTAAAGCCTTAGCTTGAACTATGTCAACGTTCACTAAGTAAACAGTTGAGTTAAGCCTTAACTGTAACTGTCAATATCCATTTGAGTAAAACTCTAGCTTAAAATATCAAAGCCCATTTAGGTAAATCACTTAAATTATCTATACCCTTTTGGTAATCTTTAACACTTTGTTAGCTGCTCTTATCGTCAAGCTCTTTGCGAGATGTAGAATGAGACAAGCTCCTGCGCATTGAAACCATGTCATAAATTCAAAAGGATATACAGTAATAAGACAATTTTGTCTAATAAGCCCTTACATAGAAAGCACCCACCATCCTACATGTTTTAAATCAATCTAAGCTATATAAAGGTACCAATGGCTCGTAATAATATCGAAATAGAAATTAGTAAATTACACTTTTCCATTTTTGAAGAAGTCAATAGATATGATCTAATAAATATTTAAGGAAACTTTATGGTCTTAACCTCGTAAATGTGAAGGATCAAGTCATTAACACTCATTAATCCAAATTCTCGTTAAAAGGTGAAAATATTGCACTTCAGAACAAAATCAAGCTACCCCTACTCAATAATATTCTACTAGGACCTTTACTGATTTGGGCATTTGCCACTAAGCACGGTATACAAAAAAGTATTAAAGGCTAACTTGATTAAGTTCGAAGTGCTAAAAGTACTCTCTCTTCATCTTTCTAAGGGTTTAAATATTGCTGAGTATTGCGAATGCCATCAAAGACGGGCACAAAATAAATTTGTGTAAAACTCTAAGAATAAGATCCAAGATCTTATTAATGACAAAATTATCCTACCACCAAAATCCAATGTTGCAATCAATCTTGTCCTCAACCATCAAGCCTGCTTCGAACTATTGGCTCTTATAAAAAGAAAAGGGATCGGACTTTCTTCAACATATCCCATACTTCACATGGATTCGAACCCAACAAACTCATTTGAGCCGAAGAAGGAAAACATGAAAGGCTACAAGCCCACTGTGGAACAAGACTCAAGATAATATAGAGAGAACTTGTCTGAGTGAATCTCTGCGGCGTTATTGATATACCTCATTTCCAAGTTTAGCTTAGAGTTTGAGTCTGAGCCTCAGTCTGTAATCGACCTTCATGATCCACCTTTTCAAATTTATGTAGCTATGGCTGGTGGCATTTTTTGTAGAGACAAAATTTCAAGTTTTTTTAAATTATAATCCCTTATTTTCCTTCTATTTATTTCTTCATCTAAATTTAGATTGAATGAACACAATAAATAATAAATAAAATAAAATAAAAAGAGGATAATGGAAAAGAAATCCACTGATATTGACACATTAGAAAATATCAAGAGATTACATGCAAGAAAAGGTTTAAGTGAAGATCACCGTCTTTTTTCTATTCTCCACAATTTGAGAGCTCTAGAACATCTTCAAAACTAGAAGATGAATTCTTGTGGAGTGCCTAGAGTAGTTTTTATATGTTTTTGGAGATAAAAAGAGACGTGCAATATTGATAAGTCATACAAACAAGTATACCCAATTGTAAGAATCCTAAACAAAGTCAAACACAAGAAAAATGAATATATACATATATATTGATTGATTGGTGTCAAGCATAACAGCACAGAGAATACCAGCATTAACCATAGAGGCCCTGAGGTTATAAAGGCTTTCTTGATAGTGTTCTGAGATGCATAAAAGAGGTTAAATCGAGCAATATTCATGCTTGCTCTCAAAAGCTTTTCGATAATTGGACGCAAAAATGGAATTGGTGAAATGAGGGAGTTAAGATTTTTTTTTTTTTTTTTCCTTATTCTTTTCTCTTTTAGGGATTAAGTGGAATAAAACAGCTTCATTTTGGACAAAAGAATATGTTTTGTTAATAAGTAAAAGGTAAACACACCCTTCTGTTTGTGCGAGTGAACGCAACGTTTAGAGGGCTAAATAAGGTGCGCGTTGTCTATACAACTGACGAAGTTGAAGGGCTAATTAATAGGAAGCAAAAGTTTGGTAAGAGCTCAATACGCAATTCTCATAAAGTAACCTAAACTACCGAAGCTCTTATGTGGAAAGCTTTAACGTAAAATAAACATTTATGTAATGTTACATGAACAGCCTTCTCTCTCTTGCGTCTCTTCTCTCTCATTCACCTAAGTTTTTATTTTTCATAAAACCAAACAACGCTTTGGAAGGATTTTTTTTTTTTTTTCTTTTTTACTATTACTCTCCATGGTACACCACCATCGATCATAACTAGTAGCACAGTCTCCATGGTAGACCACCACCTATCTATTCATATCACTCTACAATCCCAACATTAACCCAATAAGACGAAGACCTTTTTCTCTCTTCCCTCTAAATCCTCTTCCTCTTTCAAAACCTCTCTTTTCTATTTTCCCTTCTATTTTGTCTCTACTCTCTTTACTTTCTTCTCATATCCCATGGATCATTTCCTCCTTTCTCTCTGTTCTCTTTCCAAAGATTTTAAAGAAACTCAGAGTATTTTGAAAATTTTCGAAGATAGTTCTTCATTATATTTGTTTGCATATTTGTGTTGAAGTTTTTCTATTTTCTATATTTGTTAATTTGGGGACCTTTTGTTGTGTTGGTTTATTGTTAAAGTAATCGATCAATGGTTCAACCATCGGATTTGTGATCGAGTTCAATGGTGTTACAACTATCATTTTTTTTTATTATTATTCAATAATGGAAATGAGAAGAGAAGGAGAAGAACACAAAATTTTTGAAAAAAAAATTAGTTTATGCATTGTTATTAGGGGTGAGCATTAAATGGTTTAAATTGCAAAATCAAATCAAACTGCACCAAACCGTCAGTTTAAAATGGTTTATCGTTTTAAATGGTTTGATTTGGTTTATAATTTAATAAACCGCTTTCAAAACAATTTGGGTTGGTTTTTATTTTATTAAATCATATAAAATCAAATCAAACATGTCATTGTGTTATTAATTTAATTATTATATATTTTATCTAATTTGAAACTTTGAAAGTACACCTTGTGAACATGACAATCTCTTTTTGATGTTATTTCTTATGTTCTTAATGGTATAGTATTAAAATAAATTTATTTTTTTATAAATAAGTTCTTATTGGTAGGTTACATTTTTGGTGCATCATGAATATTAATTATATATAATCTTATTATTTTTGTAAATTTAAATTGTAAAAATTGATGTTTTATTTTATATGTTATATTTTATGTTATCAAACAACTGATCACTTTTTTGTTAGTCATATTTTTTTTCCATATGTTATATATTATATATTATATATCATATATGAATTCATTATGTTGTTCAATTATACTTAAAATAATTCTTAAATTATTTTAATGCTAAACCGCAAACCAGACCGCACCAAACCGTTTTTTGCGGTTTGATTTGGTTTGATTTGGTTTATTAAATAGTTTGGTTTGGATTGAAAAATTTATCAACCGTAATTTATGGTTTGGTTCGAAAATTTTTTTAAATTGCACCAAACCAATCTTGCTCACCCCTAGTTGAGATTGGAGGATTTTTTTTATTGTTTAAAAAATGAAAATAAAATTTTCATTTAAAGGAGAATTGAAATTATAAAAATAAAAAAATAAGAAAAATATTGAGAGAAAAGGGAATAATATTATCAAGAGGGTTCCATCCCATTCAAAATTATGTTTTTGAAAGCAAAAAGAGCTGCCAATAAATGTTAAATTTATTTCAAAAATATTGTATGTTAGATTTCCGGTATCATGTCATTTTCATTTTCATTTTAATGTTATGTTAATAAAATTTAATACATATTTATGTTACAAATTAAATTTAAAGTAAGATAATGTGATTCCACCTAATACGGGTAAAATTAATCCATAATGGGGTGTAAAAGGGATAATTATACTTTTAGTGACCCAGTTTTTTACCTTTTTTTCATTTTTGTGTCTCAACAGATAATGACAATAATTGAGTATTTAAATTTATAAAATTTTTTAGTGTCTCTAGATGACAAGGCGAATCGGGAAAATGGTTATGCACTTATAAAACCCAATTTATATGATGTGGCAGCTTACTTGGTGAGAATGAGCTGGACTAGTTGCCAAATAAGCCATTTATGACATGGAAATAATGGTAAATCCCCTATTATAACCTCCATTTAATGGTTCCCACTACCTCCTTCTCCTTCTTCCTCAAGCTCTCAATGCCCATCAATGGTTCGTTTTCAAAATCTATCAAAGTTATAAGCAACAAAGAAAATGGTAAAACCACAGACACAGTATGATACACATCAACAAAAGAAAAAACTGATCAATTGCCGATATTTTCTAATTAACTATTTTAATATTAGAAAAATAAAAACAGATCTTATTCCATACCTGATGATTAATTAAAGTAAGAAACTGTAGTAATTAAGAGATTAAGACAAACACCAAACTCCAATCATACAATAATGACAAATGGTTAATCATCTCCTTTTTCAATGGATTCTCCATTTTGTACTATTATAAAATTCCAACTCCTTTAGTCCCTCTACCATCACCGGTATTCCGTATCCATCAGACTCTTCTTCTTTATCTCAAGTGGCTTTGGTTCTAAATCCACCGCAAGCCATTGTTAGGCAACATAGCAGTGGCTTGCAATTAGTTGTGGACACAGCGGGGAGAGCGTGAAACCAAAGCATCACAACCAAAGAAAAGATAAGAAAGGGAAAAAAATTAAAGCAAAATACATAAAAGTGATGGAAACTTTTAAGTACCTCATCGGCTCAGCCGGTTCAAGTGGCTCTGGTTCTAAATCAATCGCGAGCTATTGATTGGCAGTGAGAGCTTGAGGAGGAAGGAGAAGTAGATAGGTGGAGAAGCATTAAATGGAGATTATAATGGGATTTATCATTCTTTCTGCATCACCTGTTAAGATAAGTTTTTCTGTTGGTCTAGGATTGTTTTACTTATTCAGAATAAAACTGCTATGTTTTAGGACAGTTAAATATTTAATCAAGTTTGTTTAGATAGACTATCTCTTTAGCACGATCTCAGGGATATTGAGACATGTCAATTTGAATTTCTATTTTGTATTAGCTATTTAAGCAAGGTCATTTGTCATTTAATAAACACTCATTTTGAGCCACTGTTAAGTTAACACTGTGCTTTTATCTTGTTTCTGTCTAACACTTTTGTTTTACCTCTGTTTGTTTAAGTTTCTTAACAGTGGTATCAGAGCCTGAAATTGAGAGGAGAGAAACACTGTGAGTTTAGAGAGAGAAACACTGTGAGTGTAGAGAGAGATGTCCAATGAAGGGCAGAACTTGTTGAGTATTCCCAAGTTTGATGGAGACTATGAATATTGGAGCTTGCTCATGGAAAATCTCTTAAGGTCCAAGGAGTACTGGAACCTAATAGAGACAAGGTATAGAGAACCCGCTGAAGGAGAAGCCGTGACAGCGGGTCAGAAGAAAATTCTAGATGAGTTGAAGCTAAAGGATTTGAAGGTGAAAAATTACCTACTTCAGTCCATTGACAAGAGTGTACTAAAGACCCTGCAACAGAGGGAAACATCGAAGCAGATATGGGACTGCATGAAGATCAGATATCAAGGAAATGCTAGAGTTCAAAGAGCACAACTTCAGATTCTTCGAAGGGATTTTGAAGTCTTGGAGATGAAGCAGGGAGAAACAGTAGATGACTACTTTGGAAGGGTAATGACAGTAGCCAATGAGATGAGAAATTGCAGAGTAGACATGCCAGACATAAAAATAGTTGAGAAGATCTTGAGAACGCTCACGGAAAGGTTCAATTACATAGTCTGCTTGATAGAAGAGTCTAAAGATATCAATGGACTCTCAGTTGATGAACTACGAAGCTCTTTGTTGGTACATGAACAAAAGTTTCAAAAGGATGGAGGTGATGAGCAAGCACTTAAAATCTCATATGAAGCTGGCAATCGAGGAAGAGGATGAGGAAGTATGAAAGGCAGAGGTGCAGCAAGGGGAAGAGGCAGAGATAGAGTCTTTAACAAGGCATTGATTAAGTGTTTCAAATGCCATCAGTTAGGACATTTTCAATACGAGTGTCCTCAATGGGAGAAAGTAGCAAACTACACCGAGCTAGATGAAAAAGAAGACTTGCTTTTAATGGCCTACATTTAAAGCAACAATGCAAGTCGAGAAGGTATGTGGTTTCTTGACTTTGGTTGCAACAACCATATGACTGGGAATAAACAATCGTTTGCTGAGTTACATGAGAGTTTTAGACACTCAGTTAAACCTGGAAATAGTATGAGAATGATTGTAATGGGAAAGGGAAGTGTGAGATTGCAAATTAGAGATGTGAAGCAAGTGGTGTCCAATGTGTATTACATTCGTGATCTAACAAACAATTTATTTAGTATTGGACAATTACAGGAGAAGGGTCTAGCTATTTTGATCCAAGATGGAACTTGCAAGGTTTATCATAAGAGGCGAGGTCTTATCATGGAAACAAAGATGACAACTAATTGAATGTTTGTAGTATTTGCCCTCATAACAACCCAACAGTCAGCCTGCCTCAACACAGCAACTGAAGACATTATGGATTTATGGCATCAAAGATTCGGTCATCTAAGGTACAAAAATCTTTGAACCTTGCAATTTAAAAATCTAGTGGATAGACTACCTCAACTCAAAACTGCTAGCAAAGTGTGCTCAAGCTGCATGGTTGGTAAACAACACCGAGATGCAATTCCGAGAAAAAGTCGGTGGAGAGCTACAGAAAGACTTCAGCTCGTGTATACTGATCTGTGTGGCCCAATAACACCTACTTCAAATGGTGGGAAAAGGTACATCATGAGTCTTATTGATGATTATAGTAGAAAATTTTGGGTTTAGTTTCTTACTAAAAAATGTGAAGCCTTTTTAGTGTTCAAACAAAAGGTACATCATGAGTCTTATTGATGATTATAGTAGAAAATTTTGGGTTTAGTTTCTTACTAAAAAATGTGAAGCCTTTTTAGTGTTCAAACTGTTTAAGAGTAAGGTGGAAAAGGAGTTAGGATGTTATATTCGTTGTCTTAGAACAGATAGAGGTAATGAATTCACCTCAAATGATTTCAACGAATTTTGTGCAAGTCATGGCATTAAGAGACAACTCACAACTGCCTACACACCTCAACAAAACGGAGTAGCAGAGCGGAAGAATCGTACCATTATGAATATGGTGAGATGTTTGTTAACAGAAAGGAGACTGCTAAAGAAGTTATGGCCAGAGGCAGCAAGGTGGGTTGTGCACATCTTGAATCGAAGTCCTACTGTAGCTGTGAAAGAGAAAACTCCTGAAGAATTTTGGAGTGGCTTGAAACCCAATGTTGATTATTTTAGGGTCTATGGTTGCATTTGTCATGTGCATATTCCAGATGCCAGGAGAACAAAACTTGAAGATAAGAGTTTTAAGGCTGTGTTACTTAGAGTCAGCGAAGAATCAAAGGCCTATAGACTCTTTGATCCAATTAAGAACTAGATTGTGACTAGTAGGGATTTTGTATTTGAAGAAAACAAGAGTTGGGACTGGGGAAGAAATGAAGAAGAGGTAGTGCTTGATGTGCTGACTTGGGGAGATAATGAAGAAATCGAAAATGACAATGAGGCAGGTGAAACACAGGAAGAAATAGTTGCTGGTAATAACAAAGAAATAGTAGATGGACTCACTTCAAGTCCACCAGAAGAACCTATTCAAGAAGTGAGAAACAGAAGAGCTCCAGTTTGGATGGCGGATTTTGAAAGTGGGGAAAGACTCTCGGAAGAAGAAGATGTGGAGAATTTAGCTGAAAATCTTGGAAACTTGGCTTTATTTGCTTCTAACGCAGACCTTATGAGTTATGAAGAAGCAACTAAGTATGCCAAATGGAGGAAGGCAATGGACCTGGAGATAGATTCTATAGTCAAGAATGATACATGGGAACTTGTTGATCTACCTACAGGGGCAAAGAAAATTGGAGTGAAATGGGTGTTTAAAAACCAAGTTCAATGAAAAAGGAGAGCTTGACAAGTGTAAAGCGCGCCTAGTAGCTAAGGGATACGCCCAAAAACATGGCATTGACTACAATGAAGTATATGCTCTTATGGCTCGTTGGGGACACAAAAAGAATGGTGATAACTTTGGCTGCTCAAAAGGGTTGGACCGTATTTTAGCTTGATGTCAAAAGCGCGTTTTTGCATGGAAAATTAAGTGAGTCGGTGTTTGTGGATCAGCCCCTTGGTTACATAAAGAAAGGAGAAGAACATGAGGTTTACAAATTAAAGAAGGCGTTGTATGCTTTAGACACTGAGAGCTTGGTTCAGCAGAATTGAGGGATACTTCATCAAAGCTGGCTTTGAAAAATGCAGCTATGTGGCTTTGAAAAAATGACAGCTATGAACACACACTATTCGTGAAGATTACAAAAAGACACACACTATTCGTGAAGATTACAAAAGAAGGTAAAATTCTGATCATTAGTCTCTACGTTGATGATCTTATTTTTACCAGTAATGATGAAGTTTTGATTGAAGAATTTAAGAGTTCCATGATGAGTGAGTTCGAGATGACTGATCTGGGAGAGATGAAATATTTCTTGGGAGTAGAAGTGAGCCAAAACAAGAAAGGTATACATTTGTGCCAAAGTAAGTATGCCAAGGAAGTACTGGACAGATTTGGAATGGTAGATAGTAATCCGGTGAGAAATCCAATTGAGCCTGGCTCAAAGTTGTCAAAGGAAGGAGGTGGAGCTGAGGTTGATGGAACCCGATATAAACAACTCATTGGCAACCTAATGTATTTGACTATCACTAGACTGAATCTTAGGTATGTGGTTTGCCTTATCAGTCGATTCATGGCTCATCCTAAAGAAGCACATTGGGCAGCAGCTAAAAGGGTTGTGCAATATCTTAGAGGGACTGTCAATATGGGGATATACTATAGAAGAGAAGTGCTTGATGACCTGGTGGGTTTCTGTGATAGTGACTATGCTGGAAATATCAATGATTCTTGAAACACAACTAGTTTTGTGTTTATGTTGAGTGCAGGAGCAGTTTCTTGGTCGTCACTGATAACGGTTTTCGCAAGTGTACGAAATCGCAACAAGTAATATAGAGTAAGAGAGTATCGTATCCACAGGGATTGTTTATCAATTACCAAAATTATTGTGTTATTCAATCTACCAAAATTAGTTAACCTATTATTATTTAGACGATGATAAGAAGAGGATTGCTAATAAGGTAATAACTTTAAAAGTAAAAACAAAGAGATCAAACACAAAATTCCAGGTGGAAAAGAAACCAGGTGGAATTAAGCTACTAGGGAATTTGATTTCACTTTATTCTATCCAACTTATTCTATTAAGTTCATTAATCAACTTTAAGTTTGTTCAAAGTAGGAGAAACACCTAAGTTACTAACAAGCTCTCCCGATTTATTGTTAGCCTAATTCTATCCAGTTTAATTACTAGTCTTTTAATAGTGAAATTAAACATAAAATCAGATCATTAGGTTTTAATGGTTGTTTTGTGAGTTCACAACCTTAATAATTTAAATTAACTTATGAAAACCACCCTTGAGTCCAACCATATAGCTTCCGCATCAAGTTATTATTCTCCAAAGTAAATTAATTATCTTTTTCATATCAAAATAACCTTTCTCCCAAAATGTTGATTATTGAAATCAACTCATCAGGGGAAATATTTTATGCCGTGGAAGCATTAAGCACAATATAATTTTATAATAGGAACAAGAAAAAACAAATCTAAATATTAATAAACTGGAATCTAATTAAAATTAACATCAAATCCCTAGGTATAAGAAGTTTAGCTGGACATAGTAATTAAAATTAAACTCAATATACTTGAATCATTCATCATATTTAAAGACCAATAATAAAAGAAGAAACAAAGAATGAAGAGTTTAGAATAAAAAACTGTATCACAACTATGTGGAATGGCTTCCCTTGGATTCTTGGCACAATTATTTTGATGCTTGAAGTCTTTAAGAGAGAGAGAATTATGTAAAGAATTGCACAAAAAACGAGAATCCCTAGCAATGAGAAGTATTCCCTCTTTATATAGAGCTCCTAGAGAATGAAGTCTGATTCCTTTTAGGAAATAGAATCCTTATTTTTTTAGTGCAAAATCCTTTGTAGGAGATCATGACTGTTTTTAGGCTTTTGATTTCTCTTGATTAGGATCTTTTTTCTCCCAAATATAGGTCTAGGTCCTTGGTTTAGTGTGTTTGGAAACTCCCCGAAGGTCGGCCCCAATGTGAGAAAAAAACTTGATTTGCGTATTTAGTTCAACGATGGTTCCGCCTGCGGCAGCACGGCCGTGCTTCATGGCACGGGCTGGGTGTGCTTTTAGTCTGGAAGTCTGGCTTAGTGAAGCACGGGGTGTGCTAGGCAGCACGAACCTAAAATGAATTCCCTGAGGCACGGGCTGTGCTAACGAAGCACAGGCAGGGCGTGCTTTCTTCTGGAAGTCCCTGCTCTAGGAATTGGGCCATGGGCCTGCTAAGGCTTGACACGCCTGGTCCCTTTGTAGACGGCCGTGCCTTTGGACACCAACCTAGCCGTGCTCTCTTCTGTCTCTCCCTTTGGTTTCCTTTAGCTTCTAGGCACGGTTGGTGCCCTTCTGGCACGGCCTGGGTGTGCTAGAAAGCTAAGTGTCTTGCATTGTAAAGTTTCTTTCTGCGCCAAATTCCTACAATTTTCTTCTTAGATCAAACGGATTAAGAATCAAGGAAGCTTTGGAACACAATTATACTTAGAAGTGAAAATTAAATCAAATTAAAGTAATTAAACTTACTGAAATTCTAATAAAAGAAAACTATATTAAAAACACTATGAAATACACCTATCAGTCACGAAAAACAAAAAAAAAAAACCCTTATTTGGTTAACTTTGTTCACTTTGAACACAATTATACTAGAAGTGAATTAAAATCAAATTAAAGTAATAAAAACTTACTGAAATTCTAATAAAAACTATATTAAAAACACTATGAAAATAACACCTATCAGTCACGAAAACAACCTATTGTAACTTTGTCAACTACAGAAGCGGAGTATGTGGCTGTTGCAGCTTGTGCCTGTCAGTGTGTGTGGATGCAAAGAGTTTTTAGCAGTCTTGGTTATGATAAATGTAAGTGTGTTACTTTATTCTGTGACAATACTTCAACAATTAAATTAGCCAAGAATCCAGTTTTTCATGGTCGTAGCAAACACATCCATGTAAGATTTTATTTCATTCGAGATTTAACAAAAGATGGTGTTGTGAAACTTGAGTTCTGTGGAAGTAGTGAGCAGCTTGCAGACATATTGACAAAACCTCTGAAGCTGGAAGCTTTTGAAAGACTTCGAAGGATGCTTGGAGTTCTGGACAAGAAGGAAGTAAATTGAACTGCTTTTTCAGCAGTTCAATTTAGGGAAGGATTGTCAAGATAAGTTTTTCTGTTGATCTAGGACTGTTTTACTTATTCATAATCAAATTGTTATGTTTTAGGACAGTTAGATATTTAATTAAGTTTGTTTAGATAGACCATCTCTTTAGCACCATCTCAGGGATATTGAGACATGTAAATTTGAATTTCTGTTTTGTATTAGATATTTAAGCAAGGTCGTTTGTCATTTAATAAACACTCATTTTGAGCCACCATTAAGTTAACATTGTGCTTTTATCTTGTTTCTATCTGACACTTTTGTTTTACCTCTATTTATTTAAATTTCTTAACATCATCAATGGATTATTTGGCAATTAGTCCAACTCATTCACCCCAAGTAGGCTGCCACGTTATATAAATTTGGTCCCATAATTGCAGAATCATTCTTTTGATTTATCATGTCATTAGGATTAGAAGATATTTAATTGTAAAATTTTATAAATTTAAATACTCAATTATTACATTAAAATAAAAAATAAAATAAAAAAGTAAAAGTTCGGACAAAATATAATTATCTCCGCGTAGAAATTACCGTCCAAGATGCATAATTTACACCGAACCTTTGAAAACTGAAAAGCAGGAGAATGAAATTTACTATTTTGCCCTTATAAAATCACACCAAATCACCGCGCTCGTCCCGACGACAACAAACATCGCCCGCCACTGTTGCCTCTTCTTCTTTTGTGCTTACTCAATCCCTGTATACTATTTTTTGTTTGTTCAATCATGGAAATTAACGATGGTGAGGAAGAGGAATTTGAGTTCTCAAGGAATTACTTTCTGGCAAAAGAATTGGGCAGTTCGGCTAAGAAATCGGCCCGTAAAATATCCGACATTGATCTAGTCGATGAACAGGTTTCATTCTTAATCTTGTCACAGTTCTCTTTACCATTTGTAGTATTCTCTCTTTTTTTCTTTTTTTTCCTCCAAAGGATTAATGGCATTTTTTTTTTCTTGTTATTATTACCTGCAGGAGTTGAGAGCAGCAACAGCTAGTATTGAACCAAAGCATGAGAAAGAGATAATTGCTCTTATGAATAGTTATAAGAAGCTATATTCCAGATGGGTCTTTGAGCTTAGGTAGTTTTTGCTGTTATTCGCATTTTCAATTTTTTGATTATATGTTACTGCATTCTCGAAAGTTTTTACTTGTGTTTGTTAAAATTTTACGGAAATACTTTAATGAAACTCAAATAGTAGCAGAATAGCATTGGTCAGATGGAGCAATTAATAGTCCTCCAGTTTGGAAAAATGATGGATTTAAGTTCAGGAGGAATTGAAAATTTTTGTTCATATCAATAAGAGGATTTACATATTGCCGCTTTGTCTCTATGGTCTGGCTGCTTTTGGCAAATTGTATTTGCCATATCCAAGGCGTAGCAAACCATGGTTTAAGGAAAGCAAGATTTCTTAAATTTTCTCTAACAATGGTCTTCCAGTAGCAATTCAAAAAAGAAATAAATTGAAATGCAGTTTTGAGAAATAGCTCTAAAGTCATATCCAAAATTGAGCCAAAGAGATGCACTCCTTGATAATTTAGGGGATTACTGCTTCTAGTCTGAAACACCGTTTCTCTCCCTATGTTGCAACTAGTTTGTGGTTTATCAATAGTTGGCTGCATGAGTTTTAGACATTTGTCTTTTGCATTTGTTGTTTCACTTAAGACAGTTAAGCAAAATTTGTACATGCATCTCATTAATTTTTTTGTTTGTTCTTTATTAGGTGTGGTTTTGGCCTTCTAATGTATGGATTTGGATCTAAGAAGGCCTTGATTGAAGATTTCGCATCTACAACGTTATCAGAGTATCCTGTAGTGGTAATCAATGGCTATCTTCAGTCAATTAATCTGAAACAGGTACCATTTAGTCAAACATAATTCTAGATTGACTGATTAATTTGCATATGGTCATTGCATGGTGCATAAATGCCAGCATGAATGTGATGGCCTCTATGTCTAGAGCATTGCAAGCATATACCATATAAATAAGAAAGTCACCATTTTCCTCCTGTCTCATTTAAGACCATTCCTCTTCTTTATATTTGCTTGCTTAGCATTTTTTTTTTTTTTCTTTTTTTTTTGAAATTTGAGGCATGAGCATCGGAGGCATTCTAGGTTATTCAATTTTTCTTTTTGTTTACCTCATGCTTAGTTAAAATATTGTGATGCTTTAGGTCATTATAGCCTTAGCTGAACTTTGGTTGGATCAATTGAAAACCAAACGAAAGACTTCATCGACTTTGCCTAAGGTTCATCAGCCATTTAGTTCTCGGTCTGTGGATGATCTTCTCACATTTTTGGATAGATCGGATGTGGAGGAAATTGATTCTTTTCTATGTGTTGTCATTCATAACATTGATGGACCTGGGTTAAGAGACACTGAGAGCCAACAGTACCTTGCACGAATTGCTTCTTGTTCACATATTCGTATCATTGCCTCTATTGATCATGTCAATGCACCCCTCTGTAAGTGTAATATTGTCATAATCAGGTATCTGTGGACAATGTGTTGCTATCTGTGGCATATCCATAGTTGCCTGTTGATCTTCTTCTTGCTTTGTTTGAAATCTTGTTAGTAACTCTATTGCTTCTCATATGGCCCTTTTGACCAAAATTGTTCAATGATTGTTAGACTTAAACGAGGTTCTTATTCAAGAAACTTTGCACTTCATGGTTTCTCCTCCAAATGCTTATAGGGAATGGAACATAGTTGATTTTAGTTTAATTTATTTTATATTTATTGACAGTTTGATGTTCACAACTACTTGATTAGGAGAAATAATGTCTAGCTAAGTGGCTTGTTAATTATATCTAGTTAACTCCGAAACCTGAAAATAAATATTGTTTGAGCATCTCAGTAATGTGGATTGATCACCAATTCATGCCTCCATCCACTAATAATTTGTTAACACATGAAGTCATTTTCCTTGAAAGTTGCTTACTTTTCCACTTGGAATGTTTTGTTATCCAGATTTTCCATGTTATCCAGATTTTCCATTTTCTGTTATCCAAATTTTCTAAGCATCCTAAGAATTAGAGAATGTTTTTTGAGAAGATATCTTTATTTCCACAAAAAAAAATTGAGCTTTTTGTTACTTTTTTTTTTTTTTTTTTTTTTTTTTTTTTCTCTTTTTGTCCATTTTGGGTATTATGGTCAATCATCAGTTTAGTTCTCCATCTTTGAAACCTGATAATTAACATCCTGGTTTTGTTCGCTATGTGGGAGAAGAACGATGGTTCACACTCATTAACTGTATTGGTATATAATTCCAACCTTTGCACATATAAGGTGGAAGGAATGTTCTTTCCTTTGGTTCTTGCACACAGCAACACAGCCCAAAGCCAAAACAGCTGCAATGTCTTACAGAGTTAACCCCTATGCTCAGAGTGTGTTCAAAATTCTGCAGAATATCATTGTCGCACATCCGAAGAAGAAGGTAAGTGCCTAAACTACAATAGGCTTTAAAGCTTTTATGTTTCATATTTTAAATCTTATATGTTCCACACTTTCAAATTTGTAATCACTCAGGCATCTTTTGATAATCTATATACAGTTCCGCAGAGCGCTTCCCCTTGTAAACAGTAGCCAGGTTACTCTCAACTCCCATTTGACAGAATTCAAAAGATCATGGAATTGGTCAAGAATCAGACGGCGCAAGTGATGGGCCAAGATTGCCTCTATATCCCTCTTGCAAAACCGATGCACTTGAAAAAACTCTTTCTGAAGATCGGTTGATTATGTACACTTGTATATTGCTAACAAATTGACCGTTTATTAATCAGAAGATTTGTTTGAAGGAAATTTTTTTCTTTTTTAGAAATCTTTCTTCTTTTTTTTTTTTTTTTGTTGATATTTTTCTAAGAAAAGCAACTCTGAATTTGAATCAATGAAACGCAACATTAGAGAATTGAACTTTCGATGACAGTGGAAATTAAATATTGAAGGGAAGCTCTTCTCCATTAAGTGAATCCAGCTAACCAATGCAAACCTAATCTCATTATTGCCAATATTACCAGAAGGGAAATTACAGAGGAATAACCTTTTTTCTTTCTCACAAAAGATAAGCATCTCATATCACAGATGTGCCTGATGGGATTTTCTGGACAAAAAGGCTAGAAAATTTGAGATAAATCATGATCACTGTTAAACTCTCTCATGGCGCTAACCACAAGTTCTGTGCGAAGAACGAAGAGCATATCCATTAAAGCCACATGAGAAACGCTATAAAGTATGAATTTCAAAAGAAAAACAAGTCTGGAAAGCTCCACTATATCACAACAAATACATACAGATCATTCCTAGTTACATACATTGCACCATCCCCAGCCCTATCTCCTTTCTTCATTATGAATTTCATGCGCTGTGACAGAAGTATGGCATCCATGCATATCCTATGCTCATTTTTGTCAATAGAACTCGGTGAATTACCTTCTCTTCTTTGCTTCTTGTGAGGCTCAGAATTTACTCACCTGACAAATATGTTAGGGCTAACCCAAATGATTAGCTGGTATAATTGTACAAAAATCTCAAAAGTACAGTAGTAACTGCAATGCAATAGAAAAACGAAAAAAGAACCATATCAACATTGCAAAACCCTAAAGAGATGCAGAAATAGCACTCCACATATTCAAAAACTTTGGTTCAATTAACATCATCAACAAAATCTTCGATTTTGTGTCAATTATATGAATAACTTTTAACATTGGATGTTAATTATTGCCAAAACGGAGGGCATACAAAACCTCGAAATTATTAAAATTATGCATTGTCCCAAATGAGCTTCATGCAACATACGATATTGCATAATTCAAGGAAACAGACAGGGGGGTCCCCACAAAGTACAACCTTCTCTTTTTCACGTATTTAAATAAAAATATATATATGCTACTCATCAGTTTAAATATATCCTTCCTTTAATGCCCCTTAACTCATTATATCATAATAAATGCACCATTCATATTTTTATTTCATAGAAATGGTCCATGCAATTTGAAACTGGTCAGAAAGGAATAGCAAGACACTTTTTGGGATGGAAAGAAATAATCAAATTCATTAGTCATTTAATAACATAGTATCACCTAGGTGAAGAGGAGTCAAAAGAATTAAGTTGCTTTTCGTATAGACTATTGTTTCTTGTAGTTAACAATCCTTGGACATGATCTCTTCTCCGGACTGCTAATTCCCTTGGCCGAGTTATCTGGAATCATACAACAAGAGGGAAGAAAATACTCTGAAGAGCATAGTTCGGCACCGTGGCATGTTCCGAAGAAAAGAGCAGAGCAAAGAAGCATGTCCAAAAGTAAACCAACCCTTGGACTGCTACGAAAAAAACCATCCAGATTTTTCAAAGTAAAGCACGATCTAATTCAAAAATTTCACCCAATTGAGCGCGTCTAGGCATATTTTTTTTCAATTGTAGATCTGAGAGATTCATTATAAATTGCTGGCAATTAGGTCGAGGTACGTTTAGCAACTATTACGAGACAGGCAACCTAATTCTGTGCGGTGTCTAAACACGAGTGTATTGGGAACGTTATCTCGGTGCCTAAGACAACTTGTTGGATCAATTTCACTACACTTTTGACTCACTAGCAACCACAATTGTATCTGTAGGAACGCTTAACTACGCTCTAATTATCTACCCACCTACTACACCATAATCAAGCTAAATAAAAGTCAACTTCAGGAGGAAAAAAGTACATGTCTTCAAAAAAAAGTCAGAGGCATTAATTTTCTTGTTTTTTCGTACACTTAACGCTATCTTGAACCTACCAGGACTACTTTTATTCGATTTCTCCTAAAGATGAGAGATATGATCCCTGAAGACTCAACACAATCTGTTCATCTTTAGTCACTATTAACCATCTCATGCGCCAGTAGTGTCCATGGAGCCAAAAAAACTCTCACGTCTGACAATCAACCTCATAGAGGAAGAGCCGCATTACTTACGCCCAGTGGTAATTTATTAATGCAAAAAGTCAGCTATTATTCACTTTTTGCGAGAGTATTGTGTATAAGATGCGTTAGGCCATTATCAGGTTTATAATTCAATAGATTCTTTCGCTATAGCCTTCGCCTATTCTAGCTACATACTGAATCCTTTATAAGTTATGAATCTTTGAAAAAAGGCGAGTTGCTCAATTGACCCTCAGATGAACAACCCCCAAATTGCTCCTTTCATCGGAGTGAGGATAGATGGCGGAAACCCCATGTGCAAAAATCAATATCCAGAGTTCTGTGCGTTGTAAGCATCTTTACTGCTCATTAGACACCAACATATCCCGACATTTAAGTTCTTCCAGCCACAACCAGTTCTGCAAAGAGAAAGACCACATGACTACATCGATTCCAACCTATTCACAAAGGTTATCTTACAATGAAGTTAATCAGATGACCCTTTTATATCCCTATACGTTCAAAAGGTCTCTTTTGTTCTCTAATAATGTATTCTGGCCTGCCTTCCGATTAAGTACTGGTACTACTACAGAAAATGTGTAAATTATGGTACACGCCGACATAAATGTTGCTTGACTAGATCTTATACTAATAACACGATGGGCGGGAATAATGAAAATTGGACAGTCGCTCATTCTTCGTCCGTCTGGAGATAGATATAACGTGATCAGGAGACAGACTTAACCACAAAGCAGTTCAAACTAGGCACAATTGTTTGTTGCTGCAATAACAGTTCGCTCAGCCTATCTCGCTCGTGTCAAATAACGCATAAGGGCAGTAAACGAGAAATAACGGAACCATCGCACCATAAAATTATCCATGAAGTATGAACAGAATAGACCATCCGATCTAACGCGCACATATTGAAAAGTTATCTCATGGGTTTGGCAGCCACGCAGACACAACCTGAAGAGTTCTTAGAGTATAAGGTTCCAGATACGTCTATGTGGCTTTCACCAAGCTACCTCAGACAGACTTTAAATATTCTGTGGAGGTACCGTTCAATCGCACAATTAGTAGCACCGGGTCACATAGAGAAATCAATATGTATCACATTCATATGCCAATCAGCGCTGCCACAGACAGCACAGACACACACACAATATTTGAGCCGTACTCGACTTAGTCACACACAATATCACATAACAAGGCGAGAGTGAACAACATGCTGGTATAAAATATATCATGATAAATAATCTTCCTAGTGGTGAACTCAAACAAACTTCTTAATACTCTCACAGAGCCGACCAATATGGTGGTGTGTGAACTGAAGAGATTCATGAGGGTATTAGCTGTATACTGACTACTGGAAACTCTTTCTGTCTCTATAGGCATTCAACCTCATTCGAGACATTACGGGTGGCATGTTCAAAGGAGTACATAAATACGGTGGCCAAATACATCACATGAAACTTTTCTTTTTTTTTTTTTTTTTTCTCTTTTTGTCCATTTTTGGGTATTATGGTCAATCATCAGATTTAGTTTCTCCATCTTTGAACCTGATAATTACATCCTGGTTTTGTTGCTAGTGTGGGACAAGAAGATGGTTCACACTCAATTTAACTGGTATTGGTATCATATTCCAACCTTTGCACCATATAAGGTGGAAGGAATGTTCTTTCCTTTGGTTCTTGCACACAGCAGCACAGCCCAAAATGCCAAAACAGCTGCAATAGTCTTACAGAGTTTAACCCCTAATGCTCAGAGTGTGTTCAAAATTCTTGCAGAATATCAATTGTCGCACTCCGAAGAAGAAGGTAAGTGGCTAAACTACATAGGCTTTAAAGCTTTATGTTTCATATTTTAAATCTTATATGTTCCATTTCATTTGTAATCTTCAGGCATGCCTTTTGATAATCTATATACAGTCTCCCGAGAGCGCTTCCTTGTAAGTAGCCAGGTTACTCTCAACTCCCATTTGACAGAATTCAAAGATCATGAATTGGTCAAGATCAGACGGCGCAGTGATGGCCAAGATTGCCTCTATATCCCTCTTGCAACCGATGCACTTGAAAAACTACTTTCTGAGATCGGTTGATTATGTACACTTGTATTACTTGCTAAAAATTGACCGTTTATTAATAGAAGATTTGTTTTGAAGGAATTTTTTCTTTTTAGAAAATTTCTTTCTTTTTTTTTTTTTTTGTTTGAATTTTTCTAAAGATAAAGCACTCTGAATTTAATCAATGAACAGCAACATTAGGAAGAATTGAACTTTGATGACAGTGGAATTAAATATTGAAGGGAAGCTCTCTCCAATTAAGTGAATCAGTAAACCAATGCAAAACTCTAATCTCATTATTGCCAATATTACCAGAAGGAAATTACAGAGGAATAACCTTTTTTTCTTTCTAACAAAAGATAGCATCTCATATACAGATGTGCCTGATGGATTTTTTCTGGACAAAAGGCTAGAAATTTGAGATAAATCATGATCACTGTTAAACTTCTCTCATGGCGCTAACCACAAGTTCTGTGCTGAAGAACGAAGAGCATATCCATTAAAGCCACATTGAACGCTATAAAGGATATGAATTTCAAAAGAAACAGTCTGGAAAGCTCACTATATACAACAATACATACTAGATCATTCCTATGTACATACATTTGCCCATCCCCCAGCTCCTATCTTCCTTTCTTCATTATGAATTTCATGCGGCTGTGACCAGAAGTATGGCATCCATGCATATCCCTATGCTCATTTTTGTCAATAGAACTCGGTGAATTACCTTCTCTTTTGCTTCTTGTGAGGCTCAGATTTACTCCCTGACAATATGTTGGGCTACCAAATGATTAGCTGGTATAATTGTACAAATCATTCAAAAGTACAGTAGTAATTGCATGCAATAGTAAAACGAAAAAAGAACCATATCAACATTGCAACTCCTAAAGAGATGCAAGAATAAGCACTCCAGATATCAAAAGCCTTTGGTTCAATTAAATCATAACAAAATCTTCGATTTGTGTCAATTATATGAATAACTTTTAACATTGATGTTAATTATTGCCAAAACCGGAAGGGCATACAAAACCTCGAAATTATTAAATTATGCATTGTCCAAATGAGCTTCATGCAAGCATACGATATTGCATATTCAAGGAACAGACAGGGGGGGTCCCACCAAAGTTATCACCTTCTCTTTTTTCACGTAATTTAAATAAAATATATATATTGCTACTCATAGTTTAAATATATTCTTCCTTTAATGCCCCTTACTCCTTATATCATAATAAATGCACCATTCATATTTTTTATTTCATAGAAATGGTCATGCAATTTGGAACTGTCAGAAAAGGAATAGCAGACACTTTTTTGGGATGGACAAAGAAATAATCAATCATTAGTCATTTAAAACATAGTATCCTATGTTAAAAGAACAAAGAATAAGTTGCTGCCACATGGACCTACCCCCCAACAAAGGAGAAAATAGAGCAAGTTAATTCTTGATAATTACATGCTGAATAGCTGGTTGAGCAACCAAAGCAGTATTTTTGTTTAAGAGTGCAGTATCTTGTCCTTAAAAACTGTGGTATCATCACTATACAACACAAATGAAATATTGCCTTCATTTCATCCACACAAACTGTCATAGTTCAAGAAAAGACATACCTCCAGATAATTTTTTTTCTTCCTGAATTCCAGTGATACTACGTTTCTGAAATGAAGGAAAGCTAATGTCATCTTACTCATAAACCACTGGCAAGCCAAAAAAATCACCTCAAAAGAACCTCTACACCACGAATTTTGCAATATCATTTGCTTGAATCTGGTAAAAATGGTTCGTATAACTTATCAAAGCTTTGTTCTATTGCTTGTAGCTTTAACTGAATCCTTGTTAGAATCTTAAAAAACCGTGCAAATTGACCAGATAACAACCAGTCTCTTTTGAGGTGGAATGCGAACCATGTGCAAACAAAAACCGTGTGCTAACACTACCCATATCCCAACAAATCGTTATTGCATACATCATGTCCACATCAAAATTTATCTACATAAAAAGTAAAGAGCCTAACTTTTCAAAGTTCTCATATTTATCCTGTCCTCTTAAGTATTTCTCAAAATTTAAATGGTAAAGAACAATGTTGCTGAATAGGATTTTCAAAAACAGGGATGAAATGCTGCCCTGGTCTGGTGAATTCTTGACAGACAACAAAGTAGGTTTGACATCAGAAATTTTTTGCTGAAACAATGCAGACGCTGTCAAAACCAAGAGTACACAATATGCAAAATATGAATATGACAGATAGATAACTAACCGAATCATAAATTGGTATTTGGTTGCGCCAGAAATCTAGGGAAGGTAAAAGCAGTCTTCCTGCAACATACACAAAATTGGTCAAACAGTGAGCAGGAACAAGGGAAAATGTCATTATGCAGGGTTTACAGACATCCAACACAAACAAATATTTATTATTGATTTCCACAAATACAAGGGGAAACATGCTTTAAAATAGTCATTTGAAAAAAATTCAGGAATTCAAAAACTTTAATTTAGCCCAAATAGTGGAAGAAGAGCAGTTAGTTTTGACTTCCTGAAATTTTTTAAAAACATCCCTCATGCACATAGATGTCAAGTAAGATTGTCAAAACATGAACCAAATAAAAACACCCATGCACATTTTCTTCAAACTGTATACTTGGCTGAAAAGAAATACAGAACATTTTAAGAGCCATGATTCATTTCTTATCTAGTAATACATAGCCACACCCAAAAGAAAAGCTGTAAAAGTAACAGGAAAAATATAGGGTTATTACAATATGAAACCTGAGGTCTTCCTTGATTGTTAATACCTGGCAAACTTCAACTCCTACTATTTCAAAATTAGTAATATTGGAACCTGAGATCTAATAATGACTCAAGACTAAATTCTTGATTATAAAATTATGAATACTTCAGAATGCTGAAGTTTTCAAATTAGACCACAATTTGGTCTTTAAATTTTAAAATATAATTGCATTTTAGACCCTGAATGATTATACTATAGAGCATTTTAGTGCCTACTCCCTACAAATACTGTACTCTTCAACTAGTAGTATACACTAATTTTGAAACAGAAGGAACAAAGTACACATTAGGGCAAACCTCAGGGGATTTTTGGTAAATAACCCAACAAAGAAAGAAAACATGAATGGTGCAGGGAAACCTCTTTTCCCCAATAGAAGTATGGTTAAATGTGATAATTTTTAATGCTATGAAGATCACTCCATTATGCAATGGCAAACTCACCTGATCTTGATCTTTTAAGATTTAAGTATTCTGGAGAGAGAATACATGTTTTCTCTTTGCTTTTCCTAGTAAGTGGACTTACCTGAGTAAAATTAAGAGGAAAATACATAGAGTAAGGGGAAAAAAAGAACATACATACAGAGATAATAGCAGCATGCTGATTGCATTCGGAGCAAAAGTTGCAAATTGAGAACAGAGATGATGAAAAACTCATCAAAAAATAGACAGTAAAAACTAAAAACACTTAATAATCAAAAACAACATGAATGCCAATAGCAAGATTGAATTCAAATACACAAACATGTTCAAACAAAAAAAAGGGCCAAAATGAATAGATAATAGAATGTGTCTTTGTATTTGATACATTAGACTATAGAACAGATGCTAACACTGCCAATATGAAGCATTTGCTTTTGAGAACATTTACAGCAGAAGAGTTCAAACATCTTAATCTTACCCACGAAATCACTTAGTTATGATATGAATGAGAGTCTATGTAGAGGAAGTTGAAATTCCTGCAACTTACATATGTTGAAAGTACGAATTGTTACTTACATATGTTTGTACGTCTACAATTAACTAGAAGTTTCTCCAATCTTTTCCCTATTGAATCACATTACAAAAAGAAAAACCTGAATTACAATATCCCAGAGATAATGAACTGGAATTCTAAAAAATACAGTGAGTTTCTTCATGATCCTTGGTCACTCCATCTCTGAAATGATGCATACACCAAATACAATTCTAAAGTTAATGACCAGTTATAGAAAAAAAGCCGGTTCTGCTTCAGCCAACTCATTTATTTAATATATCATATCTTCTATTTCTTAAACAATAGGATACTTTCTGCCAAGGCAAATTTTCACTACAAAGGAGAACGTAATGTACTAATTAAGGCTCCAATATTCAAGCATCAGCAAAAAAAGCTCATGACCAAAGACACATTCATCTTGATGACCAAAACATCGATCCAGATGGCTGTTAGAACATGCCAGTACATAATCAACTCTCACTAAAGGTGCTTTAGTTAAGTAACATAGCCAGGCGCCATATAAGCATGGAGCGATTGGCTATAAGCGAAAGAAAACAACAAAGAATGGAAGATTTAGAAGAGCTTACAAGTCTATCAAAAGTAATCTTTCTTCTAGCTTTCTTCATGGTTGAACCTTCTTCCTTGGTAGATATTTGTTCATTTTTCTCTTTCATTCTCGAATTCTTAGACAAATTTCTGAACCTTCCTAGAGCTTTTGGTGTCTCATTTGGTCTGGCCTCTTCTGCCTGCAGAGTAGGATGTGAACATTTCTCCAGTTTCTTTCCATCTAGGTCCTCAACCTCTGACATAACTTCTTTGTTTTTGTGCTTCATTGAGCACCCAGGCACAGCCTTCTGCTTCTGATTATCTTTCAAATCTGCCAGGCCTCTAATACATTGTGGATGTGAAGAAGTAATAGGAATAGCAACCACCAGTTCACTTTCTATCATAGGTGGGGTAAAATCATCCAGCACTGCAACAGTCTGCACAGCAGAAAACATTGTAGCATCCTCAGGATTACACGAAGGTTGATTTAAAATGCTAGAATCTCCAATAGTTGGTGATGCAAACAACTCTTGACATATTACTTCATCATTAACAAGTCCTGATATGGCCTCATGTCCTTGAGGCAAAGAATCAATCGAGATATTTCTCATTGCACTTCGTAACCTATATTTGGTTCGTTCATTTTGATTTTCCTTCTTCTTTTTACTCTTTGGCTTATTGGAGACAGCCAAGACCACACCTTCAGCTCCAATTGTTACTGTCTTGTCAAAGCTGGATACACCAAGATTGTTCATATAAGCACTGTTGGATACTTGACATTCTTTTGATTCATCATTCTCAAGAATGATACTTTCTAAAGTAGCTGATACACTATTCTTTGACTTCCTAATGAAACTATGCTTGCATTTCTTACCGCTTTCTAAATCATCTCTCTTTTTAGAAGATTCTACTGTGTGAAAGCTCGGACTTCTTGCTTCTGTTACGTTATCCTTCATCAAACTAGCATCATCTATAAGACAACATGATGATGGTGAAAGGTTCTTTGAGGCATCACACTCCACATTATCAACAATGTTTTCTTTTGGACCTGCTAAGAGAGTAGGACAAGATTCATTTTGCGTACTAAAAGCTTTAGCACGAGTTTATCGACAAGGACACAAGTATGGGTATTGACATTCAATTTTTCCTGAAATAAACTTCTAATTGAGTTGTGTCATTATTGAAATTATAACCTTTTGAAGCATCAGCAGCAAACTTCTCAGACACACCACTGGAATTCTCCTCTGTAACCTTGATATGATATTCATCTTCTCTGATGTCACTGCATTTACTAGGACTTGAAATTGATGTAACTTTTTTTGGGTCTGTAACACCTGCAACTTCATATTACATAGGAAGGTAGAAAATACAGAATATAATTTTAGTAAAATTTCCAGAATTTTCAGGTAGCCCCAAGACAAAATCAAGTGATCTAAGAGAACTGGAATTTTGCAGCCAGGATCAGGGGTTCATTTGCATAAACCAGAGGTGTTTGGAAGTCAATACCACAATTAACAGCTTCTTCAAAGCAATTCTCAGCATATTCTTCCCAATGTGGAGGAAAGCCAAACAAGAAATATTTGAAAACCTGTTTAGAATGAAACACAATGTAAACTTAAATTTTGATAATCAAAAACCGATAACAGTTCTGTGAAGTTGCAATAAACAGCGTGTGCCTTCTGTCAATTACCATGCAGGCTTGAGAAATGCTAGAAAAATAAAAATAAAAAAATAAGAACATCAGCATGCTTCTGGAATTTTTTCTTTTAACCATTTTCCAGAGAAAATTTCCTTTACATGAAAACAATTGCTCATGATATAAGAAATTGCAGATAAAACTAGATAAACATATTGACAGTTAAATCTCCAAAATTAACTATTTATAATTATACAGCACTGTTATGCTAAAAGAAAAGTTACAAACATTGCATCCCAATACTAATCCAAAAATATTATCCACTATGATGCCTGAAGAATGACACAAAAATTTTAGATAAAAATCTGCAAACCTCGGAGGGAAACCCATTTTCAATAGTGCGTGGCCTATTAATGAACCCTTGAAGAATGACAACTATCCCATCAGCTGTTTCAAGAGTAGACACATCATATCTTTTGGTAATGGGTGCAGTACGAAACACACGACCTGCTTTTTCCCTAACGCATAATATTACTAGTTAAATTCTTATGAAAGAAAAAAGGAAAGAAAAGAAAAAAGCAATCAATCAATTAAAAGTTGAAACCGACTAAAGCAATCGCTGGAGAAATTTATTTCAGGAAGACCCAAATGGCATAAACCCTAAGCGAAGAAGAATAAGAAGAAATGTCTTACTTTCCATAAGCGGAGCCAGCAACAGCAAGTCTCTTCCCTTCGAAATCGTCATCGGGTTTTATCAACCACCAATCGCGCAATGTCACCTTTTCCTCCGAAAAATTAAGAGAGTAAGCGAATTTAGACTGAAATAGAAGAAAGGAATTGAATTGAGAAAGTAGAGAAAACACTGTTTTTAACTGTTTTTCGAAAATAAGAAAAGGAGATGTTGTCCTCGTTGGGGTTGCGATCGGATCCATCAGAATCAGCCATGGAAAATGTACTGTAAGTTATGTCCTGTGCAGAAGAGAAAGAACACAGGTTCAATTTAGACGTTTTGTGATATTGCTTATTGATTATTGATGAATTTTGCAGGAACGAATTACGAAGTCGAATAGTCAAATTATCACATCACAGGCGGGAAAAGCAAAGGGTTTTCCTTTTTTTTTTTTTTTTCTTTTTTAAGAATAATAATAATAATAAAGATTATTATTGTTGTTATGATGTTATCTTTCTTTATTTGATGGAAGTCTATGTTATTACTATAAAGATTTCTTGATAAAAGATTATTTTATGAACATAAAGTTATCTTATATATATTAGCATTATTGTAATAATATAGTAAATTGTATCGCTTCAAATTACAGGCAAAATTTTATATTTTCTATGGAAAAAGCAAACTTCATGCTAAAGATTTTTAATTTGATTATTTTTCATTGTAAAAATTATTGACTGTATGAAATAAAATATTTACATCCATATCTATGTATCTATATGTCTATAAAGTTGAAGAATGATTCATCGCATATCTATGTATCTATATGTTTATAAAGTTAAAAGAGTGAGACGTTAAAAGAAAAATTTAAAAATTAATGAAAAATAATATCAGAAATTAGTAAAAAATAACATAAAATATTATTATGGAAATTTATGATCATTCATATAATTGACGTTGAAAATAAACTTTTTTATAATCAAAAATTTTAAAATTCACATTTTAAAGTCTCCTAACTTTAAATGTTGAAAAAATATTAATAAACAGTGAACTTTTAATATAATATTCCCTATATCTTACTATAAGTCAGTTAAGATTTTTACGGGATTAAAGAAGTAATTAATTCTTTCAAATTATAACAAAATTATGAATAAATTAACCAAATTACTATTTATCTCACATCAATATATTGTATCTAATATAAATAAGGGTAAAATTGAAAAAAATTTATTTATTAATCTTTAAAATACTCTCATATTTTGGAATAAAATAATCATCTTAAAGCAACTTATAATTCGGACAAATAGAGTATAAAGTAGTATGATAAGTAAGTAGCTAAAATAAAACAATAATGAAATCCATGTATATTTATGTACACTTTTTATGGAATTAATAGTGAAAGTCTATGTCAATCAGGTGGTGATCTGATTGGTCTCTCAAAATAGTTTTATCAGCAGTGGCAGAATTGGAAACTTTAGTTAGTGAGGTGAATTTCATTTCAACATTAATGTTTGATCAAATTATAGTTTTGTAAATGTTAAAGGAATTGGTGATTTGATTATCATCAAGAAAAACCGTGCCGAACGATGTAATTCGGTTATTTAGATCGATTTTTCGATTTTGATTTGGTTTGTAGTTTTTATTTAAGAAAAGGTTGGCTTTCGATGCGGCTTGATTTTTTGAGAAAAAAGTTGAGAAAAAAGTTTTGGTTAACCGAACCAAACCAAAGTTTTGATGCTGCGTCGTTTTAAAGTGTTGTTTTATCTAGGTTGTATACTTTCATTCTCTTCCTACTTTCATTCTCTTCCTTTTCTCTGTGTCGCTCCTCCCCTCTCCTACGTTTTTCTCACGTTTTGATCAATCTGATATTCTTAGTTTTAAATAAAGTCTTTCTCCTTCTTCCTCAATCATCTCAGAGTTACCGATTGATCTCACTGTTGACACCCAGCTCACTTTAGTCTCCTTATCAAAATCCCATCTTCGTCGCTTCTTTGATTCTCATCTTCGCTTTAAGTTTCAACTGATTCAGAGATAAGAAATGAATAAGTGATGTAGAGTTGAGTTGTCTTTTTTTATTTTATGTTAAGTCTTCTTTGATTTTTGCATTGAAGTTTCATCTTTTTTTGTTTTTTTCTTTTCTGTGATTATAGAATCATAAGAAAAATATAATTATAGAAATTATATAAATTTGGGTTTCCTCCTTTTAGCAGGATTTTAATTTAGGGATTTTGAAAATGAGAAGTTATAGAAATTAGTTGTAAGTTACTGCAATTACTGTCCTTCTTCTGTTTATATTATGTTGGTTTGAAACTATGAAGTTGGTATTTTGTAGTAGATGAAGAACTCAATCTGATTTTGAATGCTTTGGGCTTGTTATTTTTTCCACCATGACAACTATCTTAGCATATTTCCCCCTGAGAATATTGTTGAATAATTTAGTTTAATTGTTACTGTTATTAAGTTGTTTTCAATGTTTGTTTTCTTAGTCAAAGCTTTGTCCTATTCTCTAGGAATTTTGTTAATAATGTTCAGCAGAACATGGTCATGTTGCAGCAAATTTCTCTTTCAGTTGCAAATTTCTCTTTCATTAAGATTTTATTTGCTCTTTGTAAGCCTATAACAAAGGCTGTCACTTGAAAGGCTGTCATCTTGCTTAATTATACACCAGTACTTTTGAGCATCTCTTCTCTCTTTTATTTTTGTTTATTTCCTATCAGTTTATCAGTGGTATCAGAGCCTTGAGCCTGGTTCAAAGAGAGAAAAGAGAGCCTAAGAGAGTGAAACACGTGAGGTTAGATAGAAAAAAAGAGCAGTAGCTTTATTATTTGTTTCATGGCTACAGAAACAAATTTTGTGCAAGCAGCAATTCCACGTTTTGATGGCCACTATGATCATTGGAGCATGTTGATGGAAAACTTCCTGCGTTCAAAAGAATACTGGACAATCGTCGAAAACAGAATCTGTGCACCAGCAGAAGGTGAAAATTTGATGGATGCCCAAAAGACAGAGTTTGAAGCAAGAAAGCTGAAAGATTTGAAGGCAAAGAATTATCTCTTTCAAGCTATTGAACGTTCCATATTGGAAACTATTCTTTGTAAAGAAACTTCCAAGGATATATGGGATTCAATGAAGAAGAAGTATCAAGGCACAGCTAGAGTGAAACGTGCCCAGCTTCAAGCTTTGAGAAGAGACTTTGAAACTCTACAGATGAATGATGCTGAATTTGTAACTAGTTATTGCTCTAGAACTATGGAGATATGCAACAAGATGCGATTCCATGGTAAGAAGATGGATGACGTGACCATTGTGGAGAAAATTTTACGCTCTCTAACACCAAAGTATGACTATGTTGTGTGCTCTATTGAAGAGTCAAAAGACATAGATCTAATGTCCCTCGACGAATTGCAAAGCTCTTTATTGGTGCATGAGCAGAAAATGAACTGAAGTTCAAACATGGAACAACAAGCTTTGAAAGCTTCTACCTTTATTCCCTCCTCAAATTTAAGAGGTAGGGGTAGAGGGAGAGGTAGAGGAAGAGGAAGAGGAGGTCGAGGCAATGATAATAGTAGCAGAAATTATAAAGGTGTTGAACAGAACAAAGGAAGAGGACATGATCAACAATATGACAAATCCAAAATTGAGTGTTATAAGTGTCATAAATTTGGTCACTATCGCTCCGAATGTCGCACCAAGTTGCCAAATGATACTGATAAAGGACAGTAGTCGAATTATGCAGAAAATGATGAAGGAGAAACTTTTTTGATGGCTGTTCAAACAAATGATAAACCTGACTCCGATATTTGGTATGTTGATACCGGCTACAGCAATCACATGTGTGGAAGTAAGTCTTCTTTTGCTTATTTAAATGAAAATTTTCAATCTACAGTAAGTTTTGGTGATTTATCTTCTGTAGATATTTAAATGAAAATTTTCAATCTACAGTAAGTTTTGGTGATTTATCTTCTGTAGATGCGAAGGAGAAGGGTGACATTAATATTAGAACCAAGAATGGTTTTATAGAAAAAATAGCTAATGTGCTTTATGTTCCTAGCTTGAAAAGCAATTTATTAAGTGCTGAACAATTGCAAGAAAAGGGTTATATAATCACTATTCAAAATGGAGCTTGTGAAATATATGATCCTTCTAGAGGAGCCATTGCTGTGGTTCCAATGAACTCAAAAAGATTGTTCCCTTTGAAAATTGAATTTGTTCAATCTTGTTTTATTGCTAAAGTGAAAGAGATTTCCTGGTTGTGGCATTTTCGTTATGGCCATTTGAGTTTTAATGGATTAAAAACTCTTTATCAAAAAAATATGGTTAGTGGACTCCCTCAAATCAATGCTCCATCAAAAGTTTGTGAAGAATGTGTTGTTGGTAAAGAACCTCGTTCTCAATTCTCTCAAGGAAAGTCATGGAGAGCGAAAGATGTTTTGGAGCTGATTCATTCCTACATTTGTGGACCGATAAAACCATTTTCAAATGGAGGTAAAAGATATCTAATTTTCAAATGGAGGTAAAAGATATCTAATTACCTTCATTGATGATTATAGTCGGAAAACGTGGGTTTATTTTTTACAGGCAAAGTCTGAAGCTTTTGGAATTTTTAAAAGTTTCAAGGCACGTGTTGAGAAAGAAAGTGGGAAAGCAATAAAATCTCTTCGCAAGGATCGTGGTGGTGAGTACTGCTCAAATGACTTTGAGAGTTTTTGTGAAGCTCAAGGGATCCGTAAAGAGCTTACCACTGCTTATACACCACAGCAGAACGATATATCCGAAAGAAAGAACAGAACCATCCTTAACATGATGAGATGCTTGCTTGCTAGGGGAGGAATTCCAAAGACTTTTTGGCCTGAAGCTATACTTTGGAGCATTCATTTACTGAACAGAATTCCTTCTTTTGCTATTAAAAATATGACACCGGAAGAATCTTGGAACGGTAGAAAACCAGCTGTGGATTATTTCAAAATTTTTGGGTGCATAACATAGCACATATCCCAAATGAAAAAAGAAAAAAACTTGATGACAAGAGTGACAAGTGTATTTTTTTGGGTGTTAGTGAGACATCCAAAGCATTTAAATTGTTCAATCCATTGACAAAGTAGATTGTGACTAGCAGAGATGTGGTTTTTGATGAAGAAAGCATTTGGGATTGGAATGGGCAGCAGCCAACTCCAATTATTCTTGATGATGAAGTCACAAAAGAGGAGCAGCCAACTGAAATTTCAGAAAATAATGTTCCCACAGCTGAAGAAAGTTCAGTAACTTCTAAAATTCATTCCCCAACAAGCGAGGCAGTAGCAATTTCAGCTCAATCTTCCCTACGTACACGAAAAAGGCCTGCTTGGATGAAAGATTATGAGGTAACTGGAGTAAATTACAATGAAGAATCTGTCACTCATTTTGCTTTATTTGCAGATTGTGAT